CCCAGCCCCCCAAACCAACCTCTCCCCCCCTCCCTTCCCCCGATCCCTCTCTCTCCACACGCTTGCAGGCGCGGACACGCGCGCGCGCACACACAGACGCGCACACACACACACTCTACTGTACTGTACTGTGTATTTTCGGAAGAGGAGGTGGCTTTCGGAAGAGGAGGCAGCGGTGGTGTCGGGGAGGGGGGAATCTCTTTCCCCGTCTGGAGATGGTTGTGCTATTCCTCTTTGCCTTGCTCTGGATGGTGGAGGGGGCTTTTTGCCAGCTCCATTACACGGTGCAGGAAGAGCAGGAGCATGGCACGTTCGTGGGGAATATCGCCGAGGACCTGGGCTTGGACATTACAAAACTTTCGGCTCGGCGTTTCCAGACGGCGCCCAACTCCCGCAGCCCTTACCTGGAGCTTAACCTAGAAACCGGGGTACTCTACGTGAACGAGAAGATCGACCGGGAGCAGATCTGTAAGCAGAGCCCCTCCTGTCTGCTGCACCTGGAGGTCTTCCTGGAGAACCCCCTGGAGCTGTTCCGGGTGGAGATCGAGGTGCTGGACATCAACGACAACCCGCCCTCCTTCCCGGAGCCCGACCTCACCGTGGAGATCTCGGAGAGCGCCACGCCGGGCACCCGCTTCCCGCTGGAGAGCGCATTCGACCCCGACGTGGGCACCAACTCCCTGCGCACCTACGAGATCACCCCCAACAGCTACTTCTCCCTCGACGTGCAGACGCAGGGGGACGGGAACCGCTTCGCCGAGCTGGTGCTGGACCAGCCGCTGGACCGGGAGCAGCAGGCGGTGCACCGCTACGTGCTGACGGCGGTGGACGGCGGGCAGCCCCAGCAGCGCACCGGCACCGCCCTGCTCACCGTCAGGGTGCTGGACTCCAACGACAACGTCCCCGCCTTCGAGCAGCCCGTCTACACCGTGTCGCTGCCGGAGAACTCGCCGCCGGGCACCTTGGTGCTGCAGCTCAACGCCACGGACCCCGACGAGGGGCAGAACGGCGAGATCATCTATTCCTTCAGCAGCCACATCTCGGCCCGCGCCCGGGAGCTCTTCGGCATCGCGCCGCGCACCGGGCGCCTGGAGGTGAGCGGCGAGCTGGACTACGAGGAGAGCAGCGTGTACCAGGTGTACGTCCAAGCCAAGGACCTGGGGCCCAACGCCGTGCCCGCCCACTGCAAAGTGCTGGTGCGGGTGCTGGACGCCAACGACAACGCGCCCGAGATCAGCTTCTCCACCGTCAAGGAGGCGGTGAGCGAGGCGGCGGCGCCGGGCACCGTGGTGGCCCTTTTCAGCGTCTCGGACCGCGACTCGGAGGAGAACGGGCAGGTGCAGTGCGAGCTGCTGCAGGGCGACGCGCCCTTCCGCCTCAAGAGCTCCTTCAAGAACTACTACACCATCGTCACCGAGGGGCCGCTGGACCGCGAGCAGCCGGGCGGCGACGCCTACACGCTCACCGTGGTGGCCCGGGACCACGGCGAGCCGTCGCTCAGCACCAGCAAGTCCATCCAGGTGCGGGTGAGCGACGTGAACGACAACGCGCCGCGCTTCAGCCAGCCCGTGTACCAGGTGTACGTGAGCGAGAACAACGTGCCCGGCGCCTACATCTACGCCGTCAGCGCCACCGACCGCGACCAGGGCGCCAACGCCCGCCTCGCCTACTCCATCCTGGAGAGCCAGATCCAGGGCATGTCCGTCTTCACCTACGTCTCCATCAACTCCGAGAACGGGTTTCTCTACGCCCTCCGCTCCTTCGACTACGAGCAGCTCAAAGAGTTCAGCTTCCAGGTAGAGGCCCGCGACGCGGGCGAGGAGCCGCAGCCGCTGGCCGGCAACGCCACCGTCCACATCATCGTGGTGGACCAGAACGACAACGCTCCCGCCATCGTCAGCCCCTTGCCCGGCCGCAACGGCACCCCGGCGCGGGAGGCGCTGCCCCGCGGCGCCGAGCCGGGATACCTGGTGAGCCGGGTGGCGGCGGTGGACGCCGACGACGGGGAGAACGCCCGCCTCACCTACAGCATCGCGCGGGGCAACGAGGCCGGGCTGTTCCGCATGGACTGGCGCTCCGGGGAGCTGCGGACGGCCCGCAGAGTGCCGGCCAAGCGCGACCCGCAGCGCCCCTACGAGCTGGTCATCGAGGTGCGCGACCACGGGCAGCCGCCGCTCTCCTCCACCGCCGCCGTGCAGGTGGTGCTGGTGGACGGCGCGGGAGAGCGGTCCGGAGGCGGCGGCGGCCCGGCCGCGGGCACCGGGGCGGGGGGCGGCGGGGGCGGCTCCGGCGAGCATCGCCCCAGCCGCTCCGGGGGGGATAACTCGCTTGACCTCACCCTCATCCTCATCATCGCCCTGGGCTCCGTCTCCTTCATCTTCCTGCTGGCTATGATCGTCCTGGCAGTGCGCTGCCAGAAGGAGAAGAAGCTCAATATCTACACCTGCCTGGCCAGCGACTGTTGCCTGGGCTGCTGCTGCTGCTGCCCCTGCTGCAGCCGGCAGGCGCGGGCCCGCAAGAAGAAGCTCAGCAAGTCGGACATCATGCTGGTGCAGAGCTCCAACGTGCCGAGCAACCCCGCGCAGGTGCCGGTGGAGGAGTCGGGCAGCTTCGGCTCCCACCACCACAACCAGAACTACTGCTACCAAGTCTGCCTCACCCCCGAGTCCGCCAAGACCGACCTGATGTTCCTCAAGCCCTGTAGCCCCTCTCGCAGCACCGACGCCGAGCACAACCCCTGCGGGGCCATCGTCACCGGCTACGCCGACCAGCAGCCCGACATCATCTCCAACGGCAGCATTTTGTCCAGCGAGGTAAGGACCGGCACCCCCGGCATCCCACATCCCCCTCAGCCCCTGCAGACTTCATCCCCGAGCATCCTTCCCGAAGCTCCCGCTCCTCCTCCTCTCCCGTCGCGAAAGGCGTTTTGCATTCCCAATCCTGCTTCTATCTCCTTTAATCCGTCCTCTGTCTCTCCCCGCTTTGCCCTCTCCTCTTTGGGAGGCTTTAGCGACAGGCGGGGGTCTCAGAGGCGATTGCGGGGTAGACACACACACGCACATCGCTGGCTCCCTCCCGCTCGGGCTGAGCAGCTGTTGCAGCCACGCGTGTTCCCCCTGAGTCCCCCTCCCACCCCCCTCCGCTGCTTCTGAAGGAATCCGGCCCCGGCTGGGCAGCATCGGGGCGTAGAGATCCCCCCGAGGCAGCGGTAGCTGTGAGTGGATTGCCTGTGGGTTGAGAGATGGGGGGGTTACAGCTCTTAGCAGAATCTCTCCGCTTGACAGGGCTGAGGTGACGTAGGGTGTAATCACAGGATGTTCTGAAGCAACGCTTTAAACCCGTGTCTTTTTCCGTCCTGAAATCTTTTCATGTGCAAGTAAAGCTTTGGGGGAAACCCCCTTTGGGACTGTGACAATCAGTGTAGTTAGCAGGAGCGTTAATTAATTTGTGAATTAGGGTTTAATAATTGACTTTTCTTGACTCTGTCTGCACTGCTCTTTATAACCCCAAAGTTTGCAAAGAAGACCATCAAGAAAGAGTTTCTGTAAAATTGTGTGCTGAGACTTAATGTCCCCTGCAATCTTGCCTATGTTGTGTTACCTGGTGTGCAGAGAATTTTTACTAAAGCATTTACCATGCCACATTACTCTCTCATTAATCATTTTGTGCTGGGTTAGCTCATATATATTGTCAGCACCTCTCTGCCTGTGCACTAGTGAAAACCTCACATTCTCTCTTACCCTACTGAAACCTGAGTGTTGTCCAGTCTGACAAAGGTAGTTTGAATGGTATGTTCTAAGGCATTAAGTTCTGCAGTGAAATTTCTAATATTGATTTGTAGTACTGACCTTGCCTCAAAATGTCTACAAAACTCTTGGCTTCTGCTGCCTTTTTAATGACTTGAGGGTATCTCAATGTATTTTTTTTTTCCTTATGGAGCAATACCAGTACCATCTAAGTAGTCCACAACTCTAGAAATAGTTATGCTAATTTTTTGTGGGAGTTCTTGTGATGCTCAACAGTGTGCACTGTGAGAAAACGTCAGAGTCTTGTCTCAAAAAACTCCAGAAAAAATCCCTCGTGCCTTCCCGTCTGAGTGACTAAGAGCTGATTTTTTCCCCCCCCTTACATTCTAGAAACAGATTTTGTAGGCCTACTTGCAGCTAAGCATTGCCATTTATAGCGAATATGGTGAGCTGCTCCTTTGTGTATTTTCTGCTGCTGGTTACAGAAATATCAAGAGTTAAAATATCTACCAATAATTTTTTTTCTCCTAGACAAAGCATCAGCGTGCTGAGCTCAGTTATCTAGTTGACAGACCCCGACGAGTAAACAGGTAGGAGCTCTGTAGCCTTGGTTTCCTCATGCATGCTTTAGCAAGTCTGAATGCTGTGCAGAAATGTGTTTACTACAGACATAACAGGGTAGTAAAGCAGTGGGAAGTCGAATGCATGTAGATGCACTAAATAAGTTTGAATTACAGCTTTTCTAAACTGTTTTCCAAACTGACTGAAAAGAGAACACAGTCTCAGTTTGTATTAGTCTAACGTGCTTCAAATACTTAATAACATGCTTCTGTGGGGTCTCCCAGAAAACATTGTGTCGCTGAGTTAAAATTCAGCTAACCAGCTTAAGGAAATGCTACCAAATTACTTTTACCGACTACATGAAAGCAAGGAGGAGTAATAACCCTTGCTGGCCCTTGCAAGGTCTGAAAATTGCTCGTTTTGCTCATGGTGGGCAGGGCACCTCGGTGGAAGCCGTGCAGCAGGCAGGAGTGGGGGGAATGCAGCGCCGTGTTTGGCCATGTGATGGCGGAAGAATGTTTTATGAGTTCCTCTTTCATGTTTATTCTAATGTAAAGATGTTTCTGTGTCTAGTTCTGCATTCCAGGAAGCAGACATAGTAAGCTCTAAGGACAGTGGTCATGGAGACAGTGAGCAAGGAGACAGTGATCATGATGCCACTAATCGAGGTCAATCCTCTGGTAAGTCTGATAAGAGAATGGAAATATTGGATCTTTAAGTAGGGAGACTAGAAGGAACAGTTACTTACAGGAATATAATACAAGAGAGGTATAAATAAGGTGAGCATGTTTATTTTTTGGGAGGATGGGTTTACATCAGCTTGCTGCTACAGTTGCCTGGACAAGGAGGCAGTTTTGAACCTCTTTTGGTCACAGGGCTGAATTTATTTTATTCATTTGGTTGGGGATGGGAATTGTTGTGTTGTACTGTATCATTCACTGCAGCAAAACTTCCTGCACATTAAAACCAAGTTATTGGTACATTTTATAGTACATTTTATCCTATGGCAGATTTAGAGAATTTCAAAGCATTAAGCAATTCTGTTTTGTAGGCACTTCAGCTGGCACAGCAATGAGAAGTGAAGGAGGAGTTCCCAAGGGAAAGAATGAACCCAATGATTGAATGACAGCCAGACTGTGAGGGCTTTTTTTTTGCAGGGGATCAGTGGAGACACATTGGGTGCTCTGAATGTGTAATACCTCAGAATTTTCAGAGGATTGTCTGTTAATTCAAATTGAGGCACCATATAGTGCAAGTGGTCTCCATGTTAATAAGGTATCATTAAATACATTTTCTTGACAGAGGAAAGAAAGGCTTTAAAAGACTATGAATCACTTAGGAAATACACACATTGCAGTGTTATGCCCATATGTAGGGCTTGCTGTCTTAGTTCTCATACTGTCAGTTTGCTTCTGAAAGGAACATTTGTTCAGAGCCTGTGCATTAGAATTCACGCTCACCCTTGCACTGCATTTTAGCTACAAGTGCTGGGCTTTCTTTCCTACCACAGCCTCCCCAGGTCTGGTTCATCTTTGTGCTACACAGTGCTGCCGTTCCCCTTGTTTCCTTTGTGCTCTGTCACGTATAAAGATTTGCTACAACTGTGTCATACAGACTACTGTCAGTTCTCCTTTTTTTTATTCACCCCGACCCCCACCTTAGAAGGCACCAGGGCGGGGGACCCAGTGCTGTCACAGCAGTGCTGCCTCACCCGCCTGCTCTGTTAATGTCCCCTATTTTCTTGCTGCTGTAGTCACTGTGCCCTTAACGATGGGAAACCCAGGCACCAGGGGAAGAGGAGGCTGCCACAGGGCCTCTTTCTATTGCTGCAAGTCATTAATATGCAGACCTAATGAGACTTGAGAAGAGCCAAGAGTCTCTGGAGCTCCCTGCTTCTTGCAGGGCTTCATGCTAAGTGAACAGAGTGTCTATTTTGTGTCTGGGAACCTGACAACAAACCAGGTCTTGCCAGAAGTTTACATCTGAACACAGAGCCTCTTTCATTTTTGGCCTATATATGGCATATGATTTATTATTGTTCGAAAAAGCCATGTATTTAGCCTCCCCCCACCCTTTCTTTTGCACTGTTTCTGATGCAGCAATCAGGGCTACTGAGTTATAAAAAGCTCTCTCTCCTCCTGCCCTCCCTGCATTCCTTTTTTTTTTTTTCCTCTTTTACGCATTTTACTGCAGCAGTCATCTCCATGAACATTTCAATCAGCTTAGTCCCTCAACATAATGAACCATAATAACCAAATAGGAGAGAAAAGAATAAACATCTGCAAAAGGGGCTGGATTTGACTGATGGTGGGAATATAATCATATAGTTGCACATCAACTGAAAGCTATTTTCTTTTAGATGCATTCTGTGCTGTTATTGTTGTGCCTCTGTTCTTTATGCTTTCCCTCCATTTTAAAAGTAGACTATGAATACTTGTCGTATTTGGCATTGATCCTTAGTGGGGTAAATTCTTCTTTATTTCTATTTTATCAAGTAGTGGAGAAAAACTGTTCTGTACTTTTAAATAATTTCAAATCATTTAAGAATCTGATGTGATTTGTGAACTTCTGTATTTTCAGTGGTGATCACATAGTCAGTAATGAAAGCTGACAATTAGGCTTGATCTACTCACAATTAGTAGTTTGAACTGAAAACTCAGAATACACCAATTTCATATATTGGTACTGAGATTTGAGAATAATTTTCATGCACCATTTTTTTAATGCTAGTCCCAAATAAATATTTCAATACAGATCTCGGTAGTAACTGCTTTAATCTTCTTCACACACATTATTTACTTTTCCTGTAAGTTTTGGGCTGAATCATGCTGGCTTAATGCAAAGAATGTGCCCTTTTACCTCGGAGATGACAAGATACTTTGACTAAAAACTTCACTCTTGCTATGAGCTTTTGGGAATGAATTTTATGGGGAAAAAAAGGAGGATGAATCTGTTTTGATCTCGAATGGCTAGAGGAAATATAGAAGAAATGCCTTCTCAATTGCTTTAGTCATTCTGATGCTTTATAATCAATTATTTCTATATTACTAAAGGAAAGCACACTGATTGATAACATGGCAACAGTTTGGGCTTTTTTTTTTCCTCCAAGATGCTACCTGATACAATGCAGCATCATATTTATTTTCAAAAGCATCTAAAAATATTTAGTAGGTAATTCACACTGGCAGACAAAACTCACTCCCCATCAGTTTTAGTCAGCAGCATGTTCTGCTGGCAAAACATTTTGCTGTTCAGCATGGAACCTCTGTCACTACTGAACAGTCCTGTGGCACTCAAGTAGCTATTCTGTAGTAGTCCATTGTAGTAGTCCAAACTGTGGTGTCATGGTCAGTTATTAATTTGGAAGGAAAACATGTAGGATGAAAATCCATCACACTGCCACAGTGTTATTGTGCACAGTTATTTAGTGAAAAATCTGAACTATGCTGTTCTACGTATCATAGAATGTTTTCTTGGGTTTTGAAATTAGATCATAGTTCACCTTTTCACAAAATGTATTTTCTTAAAAGTGATTTAATCATGTTTTAAATATGCTGAAATGCATGTAAGGGATTCTTTTTTCCCATTAAAGTAACACACAAATGCTTCATAATTTTCCACATTCTTGCCTGCCTTAACACTGACGAAGTACTAAAGTACTGTCATCTGCTTTTGGCAGGGAATGGCAAGGAGTGAGATGCTCAAGATCCTAATTTTCTGTGGGTTGAATAGTTATTTCATTGTCTGGGTTAGTAATCTGAGCTTTTTGAAAAAAGACTTTACAAAGGTGAAGATGTGCAGGAGGTTTTTGGCAGACAGAGGAGGGGTTTCTCAAACCTAGGTTCTAATGACCTGTGCTCTTTGACAATGTTTGAGAGAAAAGCTGCTACTTGTTATAGAACAAACACAACTCACACAACACTTCTGCCTCTTACTAACGCACTGTATTTCAGCTGTGTTCTGTAGGAGTAATTCTCAAGCATGAGGTTAGTTTATTTCCCATGGTTGATTAATTTCTTGGCCTCCCTTGTGAAACTGCCAGCTTGGGTGCCAATTAATACTCTGCATGTGTGTACATTTAAATTGTATGATTAGACACCTGTCCTGTAAGATTTGGACTCGTGCCATCAATTTATTTCCTACGGTTGCTCACTAGCTACTTGGCTTTCCCAAGCAGAGTCCTTCACAGAATTACCCTTTTTTTTTCATGGAATTGGCACAATATCTCAGAGGCACTTCAGAGAGGAATGCCCAAGATGAGGAGCCAAGTAGTTGCACTGCCTTGTATATCCTGTAAAATGTATCAGCTTTTTTGATCTGTTTTTGGACAGTTTACATTGGTGACTGGCTGAAACCTGAAATTAGGCTTTTCCTGTTGGATTTTATGAAGGGAACTGGTAAGGGTTTAATGCAAAGGCACAGGGTGAAACACTGGCTCACACCTTTTCAGTACAGATTAGCTGAATGCCAAGAGGGTTCATTATGGCAGAAGAGCTGCAATATTTCCGTGTCCATAAGGAGAAGAATAAGAGAAGTCAGAAGAAGAATTTCAGTGATAAAGGGACAGAGAAAACCAGTATTTCCTCTGAGCCTATGCAGGCTGACAGCTAAATCCTGTTTTGAAGATCACTTGAGCAAAAAGTCTATCTCAGATGAAGTGAGAGTGAACATGAAAACGGCTTAGAAAAGTGCTTTGACTGAAGCTAAGTGCTATTTCTATTTTTTTTTTCTTTTTTCCCCTCTTCTTCCTTGGCCTGCATGGTTAATAATGTTCACATCTCAGTGGTCCAGATAAACCTTTGAAGCTGAGATTTGGAAGAGCTGAATATTCAATATATTTGAGTCTTTATTCATGTTCTGATGCAGATGAAGTCAGTTTTATCCAAGGCAGCACACCAATTACTTAGCAAGAAAGAGTGATAATAACTCTGTTTCATAAAGTCCAATTTTGAAGTAGATAACTACCAAGTAGGTTAGCATCATCATCCTTATTTACCAATACAAAACATGAATCACAGGGAAATTAGTAACTTGCTCATTGATAATCTAACTAAATGGATAGTTTTCCTGGCAATAGGAGCTCTGAGAAAGTCTGGCTCCCTACATCACACCTGTCTTGCATCTAACTAGCACAGGAGAAACAGAAGCATCATTTATTTCCAAGTAAAAGGCAAAGTTCTGAAAAAATTGCACACACTGGGGAAAAATCCCTCTCAGTAATGGTATTGCGAAAATACTTTGTCAGCATTTAATTTGTATTTTTATTTTTTGTTACATCTCAGTAAGGCATACGAAAGTGTTCACTTGTTGCTCTTGGTGTATGGTTCTTCTCCCTTCAATTAATTTGAGAAAGGACACATTATTTAAAAATGAATTTAGGCCTAATTATTTTGCCTTGACAGAAGAGTCTTTCAAACCAATTAAAACTCACAGAGAAATTCTGATTTTCTGCTTTTGAAATATGAAAAGGAAGCAAATTGGGAACACACTTCCAAAATGCAGTGCTGCCAAGTACGTGATTCAAAGCACCTGAGTTCCGGTACTTCAGACATCAAACTTTATTAACACCTTTCCTAATCTTTGGCAGCTTTTGAGGGAGGGGCAGGGGTTTGTTTTCCTTTAAAATCTGCAAAGTCAAGGTTGTGGCAAAGTTCATATTGTCCACTGGCCCCCTTGGTAATAAAATAGGAGTGAGCTAGTGGCCTTTGCCATGGGTTGTTCTGTGTGTGCTGCATTTGGAGTAGTGCAATGCTTGTCACTGTCACAACTTCAGTGCACTCTCCTGTCTGTTTTGTATCCACAAAGAGCATTTGAAATTCCTAATTCAGAGTCACCTTAAAAAAATCTCATTTTATCTGCATGTGCAAGGTCTAACAGCATAACTAAAGGAGAAATAAAAATACAAAGCATTATTCTTTAATGTGGACTTGTAATTATGATGGATAGTTTAGTTCAGAAGGGTCATATATATATTTATATATATATGTATGCATACATATATAGCCAGGTTTATGAAGGAAATGAGATGGAAGTGTTAAACTACCGAACATTTTCTTATAAATCAAGAACAGGATTCTTGGGGTATGAAGGAGTTCTGTGCTGCGTCTCACTTCTTTACCTGATATGTCCTTCCTTCTTGGAAAGCAGCAAATAGCCCTTACTTTTCCCCAACCGTGTGTTAAATCTTTTTCAATTAGAGCCAGAAAATTCTATGCTGTGACCCACAGGAGAAAGGTGGGGAAGAATAGCCAGCATTCATACCACAGGCAGTGTAAATTGCATGGCTGCCCAGGGATTTTGAAAATAAGCTGCTAATTTGAATTTCTTTTCTGTCAAAATACTAAACCCGAGGGTTTGGTTCTGCACCTGTTAAACTCTTAGGGACTGTTGTGACTGCTTCAAGCTGGAACAATTCCTAACCCTTGCCTCTCTGAACATTTTGTTCCCATTCGAAACAAGCATTTACATTTAGCTATGTGTTCCAGTGGGATATATTTGAATTCCAATGTATATAATTTGTTTTCTTTTTCTTTTTACAAGTGCTTCTCTCAAAGAGAGAAAAAGTTTGCAGTACAAGCTGACATTTTATATCCCCTATATTCATTACTTTGTTTATTAAAAATCCTGATTTATAGTGGCTATAACATCTTTTATAATAAGCTGTTATATAATACTATTCAGTGCACTGCACTAGACAAGCAGTATTCAAAAGGGAGCAAAAAAAAATATTTGGATAGAGACATTTTGCAGTTTAGCAGCTGATGCGAGAACAAAATAGTAAAATGAATGAAGGTAATTTTCCAGGTGAAATAAACATCCATGAAGGGAAGAAAAGGGTATATATTTAAATGTGTATACTTAAAACAATATTTTTCTAATCTTTCCCTCTCCATAGATTAAATATAATTTAATATTTACCCTTAAGTTTTTCTTTCTCCTGCTGTCTTTCAGGAAAGCTTGAATGAATATGGTCACTGATACATTATCAGCAAAGTGGAACTGTAATATGTAGGGCTGTTTGGTTTTTACATGTGGCTTTGCCAAGAAGTCTGAAAATTGTAGCTATTTCGTGTTTATTGTCCCTTCAATCTTTGGAAAGGAAAAAAAAATATTTTTCTTCAGATACTTCAATACATAAGATACATACACAGAGTTTTATAAACATTGTTAGATACTAATTTCTTTCTGGGAAGCCTGCATCTAAATACTTCTTTTCAGTCTTTGATAGCTACTACCACTCCAGAATTTATATTTGTACTATTTTTCTTCTTGCCTGATGATCTTCGTCTGATTCCTTAAGCATATCTGCAGTTCACATTTGCATTCTTCAACAGTTCACTGATCAGAAATTTATTTTCAGGCTTCTGCATGCCAATTATCACGGCAAGCTTCTAATCAAAACTGGACCTGGCATTGTATATTGCTTAATTTAAAATTAAAAAGTCATTATAAAGTGAGATTAATCTGAAACAAAAAGCTTTTATTTCTCATTTCCTCATGATTTTTTTTCTGTCTAAATGATTGCCTTTCTTACTCAAGAACTTGTTGACAGCTCATAATCATTGTTCCTTTCTGAAGAGATTGTTTTTCTGTAGTATGAGATATTACATAAATATTATTAATATAATTCAAATTAGAGTTCAAAACTGTGGTAGAATTCTTAATATTAATCCTAACACTGGAGATCAAGCTAATCCAGTTCTTTACAATGTTCCCTGGTAAATGGGCTACATTACATTAATCTTATTACAAGAATCAACTAGGTTGGAAAAGATCTTTGAAATCATTGAGCCCAACCTGCGCCCTTACACCACCTTCTCAAACATACCATGACACTGAGTGCCACATCCTTAAGTTCAAGGCACATCCTTGAGTCTTTCCTTAAACACCTCCAAGGGACAGTGGCTCTGCCACCTCCCTGTTCCAACACCCAGTCACCCTTTCTGTGAGGAAATTCCTCCTAATGTCCAACCCAAACCTCTCCTGGCACAGCTTAAGGCTGTGTTCTCTTCTATATTACAGCTGTTCAAATTTTTTTCCCTGTTTCTGTTATAAGAAGTGTTATTTTTTTGTAATTCTAATGAAGTGCTTGTAAATGCAATGTTTATAACAGATTTAGTTCAGTTTTGATACACACCTAAGATGCTCAGTTCTCTATAAATACAAGAAAAGGAGGAATTTTTTACTGTTCTGCTTTTTAGTATGATGTTGAAGATTGTGTTGGCTTAACCCAAACAGCAGCTAAGCACAACACAGTTGCTAGCTCATTCTCCTAGGATGGGAAGGAGAATCAGAAAAAAGTAAAGTTGTGGGGTGGGATAAGAATAGCATAATAATTGAAATAAAGATAATAATACCAAAATGGAGAAAGAGAGAGCAATTAAATTGAAGACAGAAATGATGCACACTACACCTGCTCACCAGGCACTGATGGATGCTCAGCCCAGCCCTGAGCAGTGATTGGCCCCTCCGTGCCACCTCCCAGTTTGTGCAGTGGGCGTGATGCTCTCTGGTATGGAATAGCCCTTTGGCCAGCTCACATCAGCTGTCCTGGCCATGCTCCCTCTCAGCTTCTTGTGCATTTCCTCACTGCCAGGACATGGCACACTGAAATGTCCCTGATTGAGTGTAAGCACTACTGAGCAACTATCCAAACATTAATGTGTTACCAACATTATTTTCATATTAAATCCAAAATGCAGCACTGTACCAACTCCTAGGAAGAAAATGAACTCTATCCCACCTGAAAGCAGGACAAACCAACTTGGAGATGCTGGTTTATTTTATTCTGTCCCTGTGATTTCATACACCAGTCCTCTCAAGTATAATCCAATGACTTAGTGACTCTTAGCCAGGAAATATTCCTTAGAAAGGCTGCTCTAAAAGTAGTCAAAAGCAGCATAGCTTGTCATTCGAGATCTTAATAGCATTAAAGGATTTGTAAGCAAACAGTTTGGTGTTGGCATGGATAATTGTTTGCTTGTATAGGGGAAGTATTAACAATTTTTTCGATAGTATTTACAGCCACATCACACTGGACTGCAGTTGCCTTTGGACTGCTAATTGCAGTATTTTATTATTGGGTTCTGTCCCATTTCATGGATGACTTGATAATAGCAAGGACTGCTGCAGCAGCAATGTAAACCATCTCTGAAAGAGTGATGCAATGATTGAATAAGCTCTCCTGATCACTTTGAAAGCTCAATTCCTACTTTGTAACATCTGCTTTTAATATCAATAGGCTACATCTCTCTACCGATGTATGCACAGATAGTCCTTTTATAGGACTCATTAACGTTTAATTTCATAAATGAATCTGTGATTTCTAAATGCAGACTTTCAATTTCTTTGGTCAGAGGCACATTTATGTAGAAACAATTCCTTCATGTTCCTAAGCACATATTTTCAATGGGTTAACTGCAGACATTCAACCTACAAGCAGAGTGGAACCTTGCATGAATGGGCTCTAAATAGTGAGATCTGCAAGTTATTTTGTGAGACAGAACCTCTGATGCTCTTCTTCTTGTGGTATTTTTGTGTGTGGCATTCTAGCATTTAGTTATGCGTGTTACAGGGTGTCTTTGACTTCTGAAGACTGGACAGCTAGATTTTTTTTGTGTTGTTGAGGAGATGAATCTAGTGGAAAAAGTTCTTATGGCATTTCTCTTTCCACTTCTCTTTCCTTGGCATAATCTTTCTTATCTGTCAGCAGCTGTTCATGATGATGAAGCTTATATCTGTAGTTTCTTTTTCTTTCATGCTTGCAGGCATGGACCTCTTCTCCAATTGCACAGAGGAATGTAAAGCACTGGGCCACTCAGATCGGTGCTGGATGCCTTCCTTTGTTCCATCCGATGGACGCCAAGCTGCAGATTACCGCAGCAATCTGCACGTACCTGGCATGGACTCCGTTCCAGACACTGAAGTGTTTGAAACACCAGAAGCCCAGCCCGGGGCAGAAAGGTCCTTCTCCACCTTTGGCAAAGAGAAGGCCCTTCACAACAGTCTGGAGAGGAAGGAGTTTGATGGACTGCTGTCTAATACACGAGCGCCTTACAAACCACCATATTTGAGTAAGTACTGTTGAAAAAGCTCTCTGGAAGCATTCCCTTTGCAGGAACAAAAATTAGCTCTTTCTGCTTTTCATGCTAGGAATAATACAGGCACAATCTTAGGAATGGGAGGGGAAACGGCTTCTCTTGGATTCAGGCACCAGTGAGGAAGGCATTGTACAGTGCTTTTATAAAAAAAACCAAAATCTTGCTTGTTTTTAGTGTGACATCATTGTCAGCAACATAAGTGTCAGTTAATATTAGTGGGGGAGTCACTCAGTTTTGTTTTCTGATGCTGGATTATTTCTAAAATTTTCTTTGGTAGATGGTTTAAACGTTGGTGTTGCCAGGCTAGTGTTTTCTAAGACTAGAGTAAATTTGAGAGAGCTTCTAGGAGCTTCTTTTTATAATTGAGAAGTAGCTTGTGAGTGAACAGTATGTATATTATTTTGAAGTAGCTGTTTACATAGTTTGGAAGGAGGAAGAGCCTTCGGTCTGATCGTCTTTCAGCCTACATATTATTAACTCTTGTAAGTGCACCTCTGTGCCTTCTGTCTCATTCCAAAATCTTGCCTCTTTCTTTAGTCACCTTTTGACTATGGTTATATGGCATGAAAGAGTGTGATATATCTCAAAAAGACCTTCATAATTCCTTTTGGAGTCTGAGCCAGCTGTAGAACCCTTGAATAGCACTTTGATCTAATATGTATTTTCATTCTATTTGATGCGTTCTGTATTTTATTAGAGACTAACTTCCTTAACATGGAGAATTTATGATGTTTATCTCATCCAAATAGGCCAAAGACATTTACACTGCAATATTGACCCTTTTTTAAAGCGACAGAGGTCTTTTAGCACAGCAGATGAGGGTAAAAGAGAAAAGAATCTCTCTGAATTGTATTAATTTATTTATTTTCCTAAAGCATTTAGTTGTTCTGAGGGGTGGTGTGATGGCAGTTCTGATATGTGAAGATCTTTGGTACAGATCATTCTCAGCACAGACCACTCAGTTTTCCCTTCTAAATAGGCTGTCCTGGTATTTGCATTCATTTAGGAGAGGCCTTTTTACCACTCTACGCTTTAGATTCACTTTACTGACAACTTTAAATTTGGCTACTGGTTCTGATCTGTGAAAGCCCTTGCTAAAAACCTGTCCTGAGACAATCAGCTTAATTTGCAGCTGAATTACTTATTTTGGGCTAAAATGTCATGTGCCAATCATCTAGTCATATTCTAAAGACCGGTGTGAAATTTCAGTACTTTCAGTCTTTCCTGAACTGATCTTCCATCATTTATTTCTACAAAACATTCTTCAGCACTAAGGCACAATCTAGCATCATTCATTTAATCACTGTCACCTCAGTTAAAAATTTAACTTTAATTTAACGAGTTTGGTAGCATCTTTAGATGGTCCAACCACAACTGGGTTCTTATGCAGTATGGATGTTGCAATGATGATTGTTATCTGGGGACACCACAATGGTAGTTCTGTTCTGATTTGTTCTAGGCCTGGGAGTTGTGTTCCAAATAGCAATGACAAACTTGTTTCATTGGTAGTTTAGGAATTTTAAATTTCGTTACACTAGCATGAGTAGTTTGTTGAACAATGTCATTACATAGAGACCTTGATCTACATTTTGCACTTTCCTGGCACAAGGGCATAAACAATTGGAAGTAAAATATCAGAAGTAGCCAATAAATGAGTGTTATTGCATAATCCACACTTGAGAATCCAGATTTAGTTTTACTTTTTTCCTTGAACCTCGAAGCTAAAATTTCTACAAAAAAAGAGTAATGCTTCTCTGCTTTATTTTCCCTTATTTGGTGGGGTTTTTTTTTTGGTTATGCTTTGTTTTGTTTTGTTTTATTTTAGATTATAATTGTATAGCAAAGAATAGGAACAACAAAAAGAAAGTGAGCACTAGTTGTAGAAATGAGGAAATAACTTATTATTAATAATGTATTAAACAAATAAGGTAAGAAAAGTATATAAGAGGAAGTTGACTTAGGAAGGAACCTTAGTTGATTCACTGGGTAATTGCAATTAAAAATAAAATTAAATTCAACTTCTTCACACAGAAAACCATGTCAAAATCAGTTTGTCAGCAGAATGACTTTTTAAAAGAAATAATTAAAATGTATGAAACAGAACCCTCATATTAAGCAAAAACACTGTATAAAAAGTTGAAACGTTTGAAAATGGCCACATGAAAATGAGCAGCAAAGAATAAAAAGTGTATTGCAGAATGCAAAAACTATTTGAGTTTAAAAGGTGTCTTAAAAAAAATATCTAAACCAAATGATCAGAAAAGAGCAGAAATTCTAGCTAGTGATTTTGAGGATGGTAATTAGTGAACATAAAAGGGACACCTTAGAGCAAATAGCCAAAGGAATGCAAACAATACAGACAACTTCCAGATACCAGGTGTAGTAAGGTAGGAGAGAACTGGTGAGTCTCTTGAGCTGCAGTTAGTGAGGACAAGGATGTGGCAGAGATTCTAAACTGTTTCTTTGCATCTGTATTTACCCAAGGAGGGACAGAGATAGGCAGGCATCCTTCCCAGGTAAGCATTTTAACTAAATGTATGAAAAATGGAAGAGGATGTTGTTGAAAAAATTGACTAAAATGAATAGAAAGGAGTCAGTTGATCATGTGTTTCTTCAGTTTTTAGCTTCTAATAGGAGCTGCTAACCAAATAATGTCAGAAGTTGTGTTTGTCATTTAAAAATATACTAGAAAACATTGTAAATCAGAGACCAATAAGAAGCCTCGGCATAGGGCATACATTTGTAATTTAGGGGCTGTAGGAACAAGGTAGCTGGCATCTGACCAGGAAAGTAATACAGGAAGATTGTCAATCTATTAGAATTTTGATAGAGTGAGAATTAATCAATAGAGTGTATTTGAACTGTCAAAAAAAAAAACAAAAAAACAAAAAAAAACCTCTAGCACAGTTTGAGTGTAGTAGAAGAAGCTCCTAAAATAATCAAGTGTTGTCATAGGGCAAAGCATTACCAGACTTTGTGCCTAAGAGGAAAAAATCATGAGGGTAAATGGAACATTTCAGCAGAAGCAGAGTCCCCCAAGCATTTATGCAGAAATCTATGGAGTTTTAAAAGAATTAATTATCTAGAAACAGCAATCAGAAAAAGGGGGCAGTGTCTGCAGATGTCATGAAGGGGTTTGGGTGCACTGGCTCTCGAGTAGCACATACCCCTGATGCACAGTGAACTGTGGGCAAACCTCCTCTGCTTCCCAGGTACCTGGCTCTGGAATGGAAAGCTGCAGAGCCCTGTCAGCACACTGGGAATGCTGAGGAGCTCACTCCCTGGAGCTGTGTCCTTAGTGAATGGCTCCAGAGGTTAGCTGGTAGCTCTAGGTGGAGCTTTCATGGTGCCACAGGAGTGTGTCTGCTTCAGGATTCCTCCAATGTGTACATTCAGTACAGAACCTTCAAAAAGATCAAGAAGGTGATGCATATTAGCATGAGAAATTTGAATTCATCCTGAGAAAAAAAGACCGTGGAATAGTTCCCTGAGAAGTTTTCCACAATGCACAAAGCCAGCAAGAAGGAAATAAAATACTAGGTTGTAAAAAGGGAATTGAATTGAAAATACACTTTAAAAAGTGCTACTAAACCCCTACACAGATCATGTCACTGTGTTCCTCTAGACAGTCTATTCATTCCATAGAAACACATGGCATAGCAGCAACAATACTGAAAATAACTCTGTGCAAAGTCATATCAAAAGCTTAGTACTAATTAATGTAGGCAAGCTGTGATAGGGAAGGGAAGTGAAGGAGGCTGCCTGAGAACTGAGGAAGTAAACTGCATGCTTTTGTTTGCTGGGCTCAACAGCAAGAGAGCAGCAAGGCAGAGAAACAACTGCAGGGCAATAGGGTCATGAACATTTGATAAAATACACATAGATCACACACATTTGATAAAATGATACCAATTTGACAAAAATTGCAGTAACCTGTTGAACTTGTGCAGCATGATTGAAGCTGAAGGCTTAACATAGTGGGAATTGGGGTATTTGGTTCTTTGTGGTTGGAGGTTTAGGCCATTGCTTGGTTAAGTGAAAAAAGCAGCTGTATTGCAAATTATTATGTAGAAAAGTATACAAATCTCATACCTGACAGAGTTTCTTTTTGTTCCATCATGAAATTTTCATCTTGCTGGTCTAAGCCATTGGACTTACTCACACACCAATTTCCACATAAACATACATATTCTATGTATTATTCTGAGCAAAATGTAATGTAAGTAGATTTCTGCATACTTAAATAATATATTTTGAAGAATATATTTATGTAAGTTTTATGTAATTGTTATGAGTAAAAGTGATAAGTTATGATGGGATCAGTAAATTGTAGGATTTTTGAAAATAGTTTCCTCATAATGTGACTCCAGGATTCTCCTAACTTACATATTCTTCTTACTGTGCAACTAACATTACTATTTGTTGTTCATCCATGTGGTTTGAACACTGCATTTGTGCAGACAGTTAAGAAATTTTCATAATGATTTGAATGTTCATAAAAAATGAAAGAAATTTGGAACTTGACTGGAGAAATAAGTGAAATAACACTCATAAGGAAAATAAATGTAGCTTTTGAAGAATTCTTCTGTTTTCAATACTAACCATTTCTAGTTGATTTTTCTTTCAGTGGTGGTTATATTAGCCATTATTTTTATAAATAATATTCCTATAGTTACCAAAACTCCTAATCCAATATTCAAACTCTGTTGGACCAGATTCTGTAGGATATATAACAGACACTATCTTCACAAAGAATACCTGATCAGTCTGATTCTGCTCTATTTCTAATGCTTTGAACAAGATCCTGAGATGGTAGCAGTTGAAACAGCACCATTAAATCTACCTCAGGAGTATTTTTGTCTATAATTAATAAGATATGGCTTTCATTTTTTTAAAATATAATTTTAGTTCACTCTAGATGGGCAATAATTTTATAATGCTTTAGAGCTTTCCTGAAGTTTCATACTGACATT